AAAATAAATAAATAAATATGGCACATTTATTCCTATATGCCTGGACTGTCTGTCTATGCATATATGGCAAATAAAAATCGTGAATCTTGAATTTTGAATCATGAATTATATTTTGGATTTCGTTAAAAGGTTTAATAAACATCTCAGTTCTGAAAAATTAAAATGTTCTGGCTATTTTTTGATGTGTCAGGCTTTACAGGGGCTTTACACACTCATCAAGCCAGATTCCTAGATATCTGTAGCATATAACTACCTCGACCTTCTTCCAATGACATTTTGCATGTCAACAATGTCAGATGGCTTATTTCTTAAATTAGAGAAAAGCAATAGCTTGGTTTTACATGCATTTAAATCCAGATGTGTAAGGTGTGTAAATATAATGCCATTAAAATATTTACAGAGAATTATTACTAAGAAATCTAAGTCACCAAGTTAATTCTGTCTTGACTTTAATGGCTGTGCATATATTATAGCTGGGAACAGACACTGTCTGTCTTGACTGAGAACCAGATCAGGACAAAGACTGTACAGTTGTGTAGCAGCTCTGTGATGCTGTACTACAGGCACAGTGGTACTTGGAGCTAAATGCTAATGTCAATATTACAACATGCTGATGTTTAGCATATTCACTATGTTATGTTAGTGTGTTAACACTCTCTCTCCTGCATCTCCAGGGAGCGAATCAAAGTCCGAGCACCCAACCTGTGGACTGTTAATCTGCAGACAGAAGAGAGGAGTTGATACAAGTGCAGCTTCATGTTTATGAGTAAAATATAAAGATAAACAGAATGTTTAGTTAATCCAAACACCCAAAATCATCTCCGTATATAAATATTAGTTACAATTTTTGATAGTGTTGTGACATTTTGTTTACCAGTCACCATGTCAAAAACAAAACCTGCTTAGCCAGTATTACACCAATGTCACCAATTTTCTTAACAAAAATGTGTTGCATTATAATAACCCTGCTAATAAGTTTTTTTATTTCAGCAAAATGTTTCCACATCTGGGTGAAAAATGGCTATACTCCTGGCAGGTTATCAGTTGATCAGAATGATAACTTACACAGAAAGACAACTATACACACCTACAGTCAGTCCAGTGACAACATACTGTACAGTAACATAAACACTAGCTATGTGTCAGTGACATGATAATACTGTAGATAAATTACATGAAGTATTTTTGGTTTGCATATCAACTACTGAGCACTTAGCTAATAGCATGACCTATGACTGAGATTATGGCAGACCACAGAAAATATCTATGCTGATATGGAAGCAGTTGGTGTGTTAATTCTCATCACTGTTAAACTGGGTCAGTGATCTATTGGCTGCAGCACAACCAGTGTGAGAAAGCATCAGCATGGAAACAAACACCCGGCCCCTGTAACCACATCGTGGCAGGAAACATATCCTAACTTCACCTGCAGCTGGCTTCTAGTAAACTCAGAGGTTTAGCAAAACAGCAGAACAGTTTCACCTTTGTCTTTTGCTTCTGCAAGTATGTGTATGGTGCTAGGTGCAATGCACACTGTTTAAAAGTTTTTCTCATCCTTCTGTAGCTGTGTGGTCAAGTCTCTTGCTCTTGAGATAGAAAACATTTTGTTTTTTTGTGGTGTTTTATTCCTTGTGGTTTCCCAGGGAGTTGCAGTAGGACATGTCAGACACAATTTTGCAAACAACAAATGTTCTCATCTCTTTGTTTTTCTTTCACTCCTTATCTAGGAGAAGATATTTTTGCTATTGAAAGCTACAGTTGATTTCTTATAGGGTAGTTGAGAAACATACCAGAACCAAGTCCTGGAAACAACAGGAACCCAGAACAGCAGAACAGTTTCACATACATTCACCATTCAGTCACATAAACTGAAGTTCAACACTGTCCTTAGAGTTGGCTAGCAACTGACACCCTTCTTTGCATTGCCATTAGAAATGTGAGTAACCAGGGAGACAGGAGGGGTTGTAGTGTTTGCAGTTGTGACAAGCAGTGATTTTGGTGTTAGGAAAAGAGAAAGTGAGGGAAGGCGGGGGGGTTGGGGTAAGCCTAACTTGAACACCTTGGCTGGTAATATATGCAACCCTATTGTGATGAATCAATGCACCATGCAATAATGGGGGGTAAGGAGGAGCACAAGGCAGTAGGGACGCTACGACAGGATTTCTTCTGCCTCATGGTGTGCCCCTTTTTTAAGAAACACACCCAAACCACGCGGTATCAACTGGACACTCAACAAAGTGCTTCTTCCATTCATATCTGAGTTATTATTTTTTTACTGAGGAGCCAGCCAGAGACAAGAGCCCGAAGACAGACCAACATAAAGACTCAATAATTTTGCTACAGAGACAAGAACGTTGTGATACCAGGAGCAGTTGTGATGAAAGTCTACATTGTTATATGAACATATTTTTGTGGCTTACCACCGCACTGTGACGTGTCTGCTAAAGGCTGTGGTGTCTAAACAAAATCTGAAGAGAAGGAGTTTGACAGGATGAACTGAGGTGAGAACACTGATTTTGTTTAGAAATCCATACATGATCAGTAGCAGCTTTGTTTATGGTTGCCTGGCAATATGCAAACTATAATTAAAATTATAATAAAAAAATCAGCGCTATAGCATGCTGTAATTTTTGTTTTTTCCTTTTTAATTATTACTTGTAAAATATATATTGCACCGTGATTAAGTAGGAGATTTGGTGTCAGGATAATCTCTAGTTAAAAAACTGTAATTGCATTAATTAGATTATGAGAAGATACTTGAAGTGAACCACAGTGCACAAGTTTTACTTTATTTACATGTTAAAACACCACACGATATTAACTGGTGAACAAGTATCAGGCATTGCTTGCAGAATGAGTGAAAGGGGAAGTCTCTGTGTTCTCAATTTAGAATGCAAAAAGACACATGGATTACTGGCGCGAACTGATCAGTGAACAAGAGGTTAATTGGGTCAGTAGTTTTTAATATGATAAAATCATGAATCACTAAAGAACTCATTTGGTATTATTAGTTCAGTTCAGCTAAAAGCCTTTAATGTTTGTACTCATAATATATAATTCTTCAACAAAATAAAAAAAAAGGCAAAAAACCTTAAGAGATTAAATTAGATTTATGTAAATTGCCCCAATTTTTTCCATGAACAATGGCTCAAATGATTATGTACAATGCAACAGGTGTTGTTTATAACGATGAACCCACAGCTAATTATCTTGATTCTGCAGGTGCCATCAGCTCTGTGAAGCGTTTTAGCATCTATTTAGGTGTATGCCATCTGCCATGCCTATTGAATGTCATCACACTGGATATAAGACCATGTTTTGTGTCACAACTGACTACAAAAACATTTTATTTTGCTTTATGCAGGGAGGATGTGATCTATTCACCCTATCTCCAGGACACAATGTCACATGACAGAGGAAGAATCTGGGAAAGGAGTAGGAAACAGATGCACTGGTTTATTCTCATTTACCTTCTGCTGGCTTTACAATGCATGAGTTTTCTCCCCAACTTTTGGTCTCGAGTGTTAACACTGTCCTGGGACTCACACACACACCAGTCCATCACAGAGCAGGCCATTCTCAACATCACACTGGAGACTCTGAGGAGCACCAATAAACACGAGAGATACCACACAGAGGAACAGGTGAGCTGATGCTTCCAATCAGGATATTTAATTAATATAGTATACAAGACCTACTTTTGGTTTATAGAAAAAACAGACTGAAGTGAGTCAGCATCAGTAGCTTATAGACAGTTTCACTGAATGCACACTAAAGAAATTGCCTCTGTGTATATTACAATGTGATATTGAGCACAGAACAACTTCTTCTTCCAATGATAGTAAAAGGTCAATCTGTATTTCCCACAGACCAGACTGGGCCGTGGCTTCTGGAGAGCTGTGGGAGAGGTGGTGGCATCCAACGCTGCCATGGACTTCCTGAGTTCCACCAGATCCAACCCGGTGTACCACTTTGACTCAGAGCGCGTGGACAGCGCCATAGTGATGTTACAGCAGTTCTGGGATCAGACTCTGCTCTCAGTACGGGCCAGAGAGTACCAAAGTGCTCGTCACAGCTTGGGCAAGCTATTCCATTCCTTGCAGGTACACAGCAGCACCACATGCATCAGCTCTGATGAGTCATTGCTCATGTTAGGAAGCACCAGAGCCAATGTAAAACCATGAAAAATGTTACCTCTAAATAACAATACAATAGTGGCATTAAATGTAGTAGTAGGATCCTCCTCAATCTTGATTAATAGTCCTGATGTAGGGTCAGATAAGTTATAAAAGTTATAAGATAGGCCTACCTTCACTGATATGAGTGGCATTAGTTGTGATGTTATTATTATTATTATTATTATTATGCCAGGACTTCTACAGCCACAGTAACTGGGTGGAGATGGGCCAGCACACTGTTTACCTTCACTTGCTGCAGCCAGAGGAGCCTGCTGTCCCTGTGGCTGCAGGTAATTCATATCTTCATGTCTGTAATTACCCAGATGCCCACCTTATCACACCAACAAGTGAATCATGATTCAGCATTACTGGTTACTGATTTTCAGCAGAAACCTAAGATGATTATCTATACAATTCACAGATTTTATTATTATTATATTAGGTTTCATGCAATTGCATGGTGGGGGTGGGGACAATGATCTTACTTACCTTAACACTGATCAACCTCAACCAAACCCTCATTCTTTCTGTCCACAGAAGACATTTCTACCTGTATGGAGTGTTTCAGTGTCACCTGTCGAAACAACCTCCTGCCAAGACCAACAGCCACACAGCAAGGTTCCCAGCTGCTCACCACCGGTTACTTCAGCACCTTCCCTCCAAAACCTGAGGGTGTGTCCACCACCAAGAGATGCAGTTCTGCAAATAGCCAAAGGATAAGTCAATTCAAATGAAAACAATTTTCTGTATAGAGTGTTTTAATGGCTTTTTATTTTTCAGGCAAATGTAGTCATGGAGGTATTCTGGACAGTAGCCGCTACATGGGGGCTAAAGGGGGCATCAACAAGGACAGCACCTCACCTTTCTTCTCCCCTCACCATTACCTCCATATGGAAGCTGCAACGTTGGCTGCAGAAGCCACCCTGAGTGTACTGAGAGACCTCTGTGGGCCACAAAACCTTCCTCAAGTCAGTTTCAGTCACTGTTACATTTCCCAGTATACAGAACACTGAATAATATATGAAGCCCTACAACTTCTCAATTTTCAGCAGTGTGTATTTAGGACTTATTTTCTTGCAAACATCTTTGTTGGCAGGCTCTTCAGTGTGAAACATGTCCCTGCACTGGTATTTGTCATGGACACTACAGGCAGCATGTTTGAGGAGATCACCGCTGCCCGCTTCCGGGCGTACTCCATCATCCAGAGCCGACCCAACAGCTCTGGGCAGCCCGGCACCTTTCTGCTTGTACCCTTCCATGACCCAGGTGAGGTTACAGATATTTGTAAAAGCCTGGAATGAAAACAGTGCTGTACAGAGCTGGAAATATTTGCCTAAAGAACTGGGCTGAATCTATAAATAATCTCTGTGAGACTTTCTCTTATTGACTTGGGACCATAATGGTCTTTTACCACTTATCCATGAGCTGTTTATTGCTTTTGTTCATGAAACAATAATAATCTAGATTTTACACACCTGTGCTGTGGTGCTCCATAGAGTACTGTGGTATCCACACACTTTTAGACTTTTGACTTTTTATCTCATATTAATCATTCAGTCACCATAAAATCAAAGCTTTTTGTAGCTTTATAGACAACTGAATAAAGTCTGACAATTTGTCTCCGGTGAGGCAATGCAGACTGAGGCTGAACAGTATTGCTTACCAACTAACATTTTTGGTCTACCATTCTCTGCAGCTGTAGGACCAGTGTATGAGACTGATGACCCAAACCAGTTTATGCAGTACATGGAGAACCTGACGGCGCTGGGAGGAGGAGATGAACCAGAGATGTGCCTCTCTGCCATTCAGGCAAATTTTGTTACTTTTTCTTTAAAATGATCATGAGTATGTGAACTGCAAGTACATGTGGCATCATCTCCCATGTTGCTGTGCATTTTCAGCTGGCTCTCACCCACAGTCCACCACTGTCAGACATCTTTGTGTTCACTGATGCTTCCCCTAAAGACGCCCACATGTTTGATGCAGTGAAGGCCCTCGCGCTGGAAAAACACAGCAAGGCTTGTTTAAATTTGAAAGATTTTTTCTCTCTAATAAAAGCTTGTCTTCAGTTTTATACACATGCATTTGAATTGTATAAAGATGATCAGCAGACAGAAGAACTATTAATGATGTCTTCTACAAAGAGACAAATCTGGACGTGGTCTGAAGACAATTTTAGGGTTTTAACTGTTTCTGATTTTTAACTGGTAGCCCTACATCTAAATAAAACACATTTGGATTTAACATCTCAGACCTAAAACGTTTCACATGATGACATTGACCATTCAGACAAGTTACAACAATGGAAGTGATTGGCAGATCAGGAAGTTATCTGTGTTTGAGGGCAGTGATGGCTTCAAAAAATTATATCATTATGTGAATTGCAGTTCTGATCTGGTTTTCCCACAGGTGACATTTCTCCTAACTGTAGACCAAACCTACACAGCAAAGAGCAGAGGAATGAGAACGAGGAGGAGGAGGAGGAGGAGGAGAAAGAGGAGTATGGAACCTGTGGCTCCGGATCGGTTCTCTCTCTACTCCTCCCTGTCCTCCCTCTCAGGAGGACTGACAATATTCACCACCAAGTCTGACATCCACAAGGTCTCTACCATAGTAGAGGATAACACATCTGCTGACAAGGTACAACAATAAGGGTTTTAATGGGCATCAACAATTCCCCAGTGTTTTTGGTTTGTGGACATTTTAAGTGGTTGTGGTCACTTATGTCAGAATAATTTTGAGGAAAACAAAAAACAATCCATGTTCCACAAATACTTTTTTCTACTACATTTTTGCTGATCATATTGAAACCTATCAAATTTATCTTGTGACCTAATGTGGGGTCATAAGAGCTACATCATTGTAATACAAGAGCTACATCATTATAATGAGTGCCTGGTTCATATTCTTATAAACAACTTATAGATTTTTTTTTTGGCTACTTGGAGGCAGATGTAAATTGACATATACTTTTATAAAGTTGCCACGGCAAACTTCTTAGCAACTGGTAGCTAATAATATACATCCAGCAACATTATCATTCGTCTGGAGTCATGTTACTGTCCAAGAAGTAAGTTTTCACTCTTTGTAGCTCTGTTTTAGTCCCCACCAGCACCAACTGCTGCATACTCCACTTTGTCCACCATTTTTGTCCACTGCTAACTTTGGTGCTGGCAGCCAGTGTACCATGAAGGTGCTGCCTGCAGCTGCAGATGAGGTTGATCAGAGCAGTGAGAGGGAACCAAAACAGTGAAACTGCAGGCTGTAAAATCAAAACAATCACTCGAAAAGTACTAAAATGTTTTGCAGAGCTGATGGAGAACTGTAAAGTTCCATAATGACTATCCCTATGTTTGTCACTGCAAATGACCCCTTTTACATACAAGATGTCATGAGATCCATTTTATTATACTGATTGACTCTTTGAAGTGAATATGTGCCTTCACTGTTCAGGTATTGTACATAAACATATATTTTCTCTTTCCTCCCCAGGTGACTCTCCTCCATGTAGCGAGTGTTCGAGAGTTGACGTCTTCCCATTCCTTTAGAGTTGACAGCGCAGTAAAAACCGTGACTCTACATGTCACTGGTGTCCTGATGGAGAGTATCCTTACCAGTCCCTCAGGTAACTGCACAGCAAAGTCATAAGACATACATGTATAAGTTTGTGATGGTAGCATGAGTTGATTATTCTGGGAATTACTATATGTGAGTTATACTTTGTGCCTGCTCATCTTCAAAACCACTTTTGCATTTGGTTACAAAATGAGGCCATTTGTTTATCCTCCTCTCTTTGACAGACCAAAATCAGTCCCTGTTCAGTGAGCAGGAGCCCCTTGCAAAGTTGGAGCACTTTGAGGGACTGTACCGCATCAGCCTGCTTCCTCCTATAGAGCCAGGCCAGTGGAAACTGTACGCCAAGAGCAATGGACACTTAACATTCAATGTAATAGGTAAAAGAAAAAACACATTAGACATTGAACCAAACCACTAACAGATGATTACTGGGACCTGATACCAATGAAATGAAGAAATATTTGTCTTTTCATCTGCCCACCCCAGGTGACAGCAGCGTAGATTTCCTGTATTATTTTGCTACTGTAACCAATGAGACACACCCAGGTCTGGCAAGAGTGGAGGGCAGTCCAGTAGCAGGTGAGGGATTATGACTCTTTTCCTAATATAATTAGTGGTAAGTCACTGACTGTGTCCAGGAATGTGCCTGCCATTTAGCAAAACTGCTTTGCTCCTTATTTAATTTCCCAGGTGGCTCTGCCTTCCTGGTGCTGGCAGTGACAGGCCTGGCTTCAGATGAGGAGGTATCTTTCAGTCACGTGACATTGCTGGGAGCTGAAGGGGAGACCCTTCGGCATGTGCGGCTGAATTCCTCCTCTTCTCCATCATCCTCCTCTGTGGAGGAACTGGTGGGCTGGGTGGACTCTGTCCCCAGAGTTCCTTTCTGTGTTCGTCTTACAGGCCAAGACAGCAGAGGAAACAAGCTGGAGAGAGTTTCCACAGAGATGGTGCTACCCACTCATGTTCAGATACAGGTGATCTGTAGTAATACTAAACAAGACATGGTCTAATGTTGTACAGAATTTGAACTTGGCTTTTACAAGTACATCATATTGCTTACTCATTTAACTAAATCTGTAAGCTTCATGGATATTTATTTCTCTTTTCTGACAAACAAATTCAGTGTCCTTAATTAATGTAACATAAATATAAAGCTGCACTTATCAATATTTTTTATTAAAAAATGAAAAAATGACTACATGTAATGTGAAAGGCGCCCTTCATAGTGATAAACCCAGAGAGAATTATCATCAGATTGTGGAATATTTTAAGCATCTTTATAACTAATTGTTTGGATCTTAAGGCCTCCAACTTTGGTGTTACTTTCCATACAACTGTGTTGGTGGATTTTCTGTTTTATAATATTTCATATTAATGTACCTCATATCCACTGGGCTTGCTGTGACAGTCTTATCTCCTCAGGTATTGCTTGCCCCCCGCTTGGTACCTGGTCACAGCACAATGGTGGACTTTGACATCCTGAACCATGGCCCAGCTCGACTTTTCATTTTGACTGCTGATGACGACTGTGGATATCTTCATACAAGAGGACCTCACAGGTAAAGCAAACATAAATAAAATAATAAATCTACAGATCTTCGAGTGAACATCAAAGATTCTAATCTTGCCATTCAGTTATTTTATGTCCTTACTTTGCAGCCATGAACTGCGATATTAGAAAAGAATATTTCACACCTTTGAAGGACTACTGAGTCTCAGTAAAATATTGGGAAACGTGGCATTGTACATTTAAAAAAAAAATCACAGTTTTGTACAAAGCTTTATTTGTGCTGGCAGACATAACTAAAACTACTGCTTATAAAATTTAAGTTTTGTCCCTCAGCTTCCATGTTGAAGAACAGAAGTCTTTCTGTGGCCAGGTGGACCTCCACACTCCTGCCACAGCTCAGGCAGGAGTGACTGTTACGCTTACACTCACTGTACATGCTGTTGACTCTACAGACTCAAATTATGCAGTGACTTACTTGACAGTGGTTCCTCCGGTAAGACCCTGCTTTGAGCTTGAGGGATGTATTTAGTTTGGTGTCTATTTCTACCATTTTATTCAGAAGTTAAAAATTAATCTGTCTCTGATCAAAGATTTTGTGGCACTGACATCACTTCCTCTTTCTCTTATAGGATGCAGACACATCCCCACCATCTTGCTCCACCGCAGTAGGGCAGTCCAACTGTCCTTCCACTTGCAATGAATCTAGCTGGAGTGTATATCTGGTTGTGTCAGACAGGGGGCGCTCTGGCCTTGCTGCCCTCCAGCTACAGAAAGGTGAAGGTATTCTGACTTTACTTCACAGCCCCCCACCTGCAGACGACAACCTGGGAGAGGCCCAGCCTGGCCCCACCCACCAGGAGAAGAAAACCAGTGAAGGCCACTACCTCCATCACCACCACAAAGCCAGGTTAAAGAAAGGAGACCCCCCTTTGAATGTCTCCGAATGGGTACTGGGCTCATCTCAGCCACTGTGGGTGAGGTACACATCAAACTGCTGCTCTGCTCAGGCAGAGCTGCTAGTGTGGGATGCAGCTGGAAACATGAAGCGATGCCATCTCACATCTGGTCAGCAGAAGCAAGTCACAGCCAGGAGCCCAGACACCGGTGGAACTGGACGGATTACACTCATAGGTGTCTGTTTGTTGTTGTTAGGCCTGCTGTGGTCTCCTCTGCACTAGGTCAATGTGATTACAAATATTTTGCTGGATAAACAAATCTGTGTTGATGTCTGAATTGCAGCCTCCCGGATAAGGCATTAATCAAAGGAGATATCCAGTAAAGCTTGTCCTTTCTGAAAAATAAAATTTGAAAAACAAGTGTATGTAATGCACAGAAATGTGTCTTTCTTCATT